GGGCTGCCGCTCCCTCCCACCCACAGCCTGGCGCTCTCGAGACCCAAAAAAGGAAGAATTTGCCCCTTTCCTTGCTTGCTCGGAAGGGGATGTGATGACGGAGACGAAGGTGGCAGCGCCGGGACCGTAAACAGGAAACCAGGCTCCTCAGTACAGGAGGATGAACCTGCATTTCAGGGCTCCCCTTCTGTCCCCAAATGAGTATTTTTTTCGGCTGGAGTTCATTCCCATGTCGCCTTCGAGGGAATCGGGGCTTTGGCTTCACCCCTTCGTATGGCTGTGATGCCACGGAGCGAAACTCCCTGCGACGCCAAAGGCTCCACCCCGGGCTGCGGTGCTGGAGGTGTGGGGGGGGGTGCAGCCACCTTGATATTTTTGTCAACGTTTTTGCATGGGCCAAGCAGCCGTGTCATTTCACCCTCCCTCCGCGCAGCCGTGCTTTAGTGGTGACTTCCCCGGAGCTTTTTCATCCGCTTTCAGGGGACACCCACAAGCCAGATGCTTATTTCTACCGTCCCTGTACCTGGCAGCTGCCTGCGGGCTGGGTAACCCCCAAATTTGAGTCCCCGCTGGGGCAGGTGCCGTGCGGCCGCCGCGCCGACGTTTATCCCAAAGCCACAAAGGGGCTGCAAAATCCCCTCCCGATATCGTTTTTGAGGGCTAAATGGGATTATTATTGGGTTTATTCTCTGTGGGAGGATGGATGGATGCGGGAGAGGCAGCTGCTGGCCGCGGGAGGAGGGTTGATGCCGGGCTTTGCCGGGGTGCTCGCGCGGCTCCTCGGCTCGTCAGGAAACCCGAAGCTTTGTCAGCTTTTCCGTTGCAACATGCGATTTTTCGGTGGTGGGTTTCTCTTCTGCTTTCTCCAGGCGGAGCCGGAGCCCCGGAGGCCGGGCCGGCTTCCTGCCCTTCCCCTGCCTGTTTCTGCCTGCTTGAAGGCAGACTTCGCTTTTGCAACCTCTTCTCTGGTTTGAAGCATGACGCAGAATATTTTTGCTGTTGCATATAATTTATTTGCTAGAATATATCCGGGGTAAGAAGAGGGGATTGCCGCTTTGCTGAGGTTTTAGGGGCAGGTCCGTCCTCCGACACAGGTTTTACCGCACGGCCTTGGTTGAGTCATTTATCCGCCTGGATGTCATTGTGAGTCTATTTTTTTTTTTGGCAGGAAAATGGGTTTGTTTCCCAGGGGATGGGGAGGAAGCACATGGCGATGCGGGAGGTGGAAGAAAACAGTGGTTTGTGGATCGAATGCGCTTTTCTCGCCTTGGTTTCTTTTTCTGGACAAGGGAAGGGAGGGGAGAGACCCTGGAAAAATGAAAGCCCGTCTGTAGGAGGGTTTGCACAAACACCCAAGGAAAAGCACGTCCCGAGAAGTCCTTTCTCATCGCTCAAAACCACCCCGACGTTGCACTTCAAGGTCTCTCCAGGGCCTGATTTCCAAAGTGCTCCGAGCCCGTGAGCGACCCTGAGGGCTTCACCCTAAAACTCATTTTAATTCCTCTTCGTAGCATCCAAAACCCACTCTCGTGCTTTAAGCCGGGGCCACTCCAAAGGCGGGATTTTTGGGGGAAGTTTCCGAGTGTTTGCACGAGAGTGATGGAGATGTTTTGGCACTGGAGGGAACGCACAAAAATTTCACCGGCATCGTAAAAAAACAATAAAGGAACCAGCCCAGTGTCTCTCGCTCCTTGCGAAAGTCAGCCCTCGTGCCTACTGCCTGGTTTTGGGACGGCACGAGGAAGCATCAAGCCGGACCCAGACCGGCGTGTCCGAAGCTTTGTAGCAAAACCCTAGTAAAATAAATGGAGCAAAAGAACAAATCCCGCTTATAACCCTTCCACCTCCAGGTCTGGCATCTCCGGGGCAGTTCGTGGATGCTCGAAATGCAAATGTTAGCGTAAGCGTATCTCTGCTGGTATTAAATTTTCAGTGGGTTTACAGTGCTTCTCCCCTTATCTGATTTCCCCTCGCTCCCCATTGTTTTTTCCTGGAGGAGCCGCATCAAACTTTCCCCGCGGCTGCATCCGCTGAAACCTTTTCCAAGAGCTCCTCCAAATCCGAGCCAGTTTATTTTTTCCCCGTTATCCAGGGGTGCGATTCAGGGATGCGATAACGGGGCGGTTCACGCCGATGCTTTTCTCTCCCTCTTTGCGGTTCA